ACCTTACACCTTAAATTTCAACTAAAGGAGAAGTAAAAACAGATGATGTCAGTCACCTTTATATATGAGCATGAGTTTTCTGTGTAACTGTGAGTTTCCCACAGTGAAGTAGTCCCACCAGCAGCAGCAGCAGAGCCACCATCAGGAGGAGGCCCATGAGGAGGCCATCTTTATAGAAACCAGCTGTGAGGTTGGAGATAGTTATTTTCTTTCTGCAGCTCAGAGTCACATTGTTGCCCTCCTTCACAGGGAGGACTGGACTCTCCAGGATCACTGAACCAGCTGCTTTTTCTGAAATGTGTTGAATTTGTAGGAGTTCGATGAGACAATTTTGCACTGAAATGACAGCTGAAAGCAGCAGGGAGGAGAACAGATTCAAAGCAACATGATTGGCTGTAGGAGACTGTGGTGAACTCTGAATTAGCTGAAAGAGTAAACAGCCATAGGTGATTAGAAAGAAGAGTGAGATAATTGTGAATGAATGAGGCTCACTGAGAAGGTCTTCCTGCTTGAACTATTTGATGTCCCAACCTTTTCTGCTGATAGAGACTTAGACAAGCTGATCTCTCTGTTCTCTGTTCTCTGACCTTAGTGGGGGCACACACCTGAAAGTAACATAAGAGCTCAGATAAGATCCTGTGAAGATTAGCAAAGAACACATATTGCTACACAGCATACTAAAAAAAAAACTCTATAAGTGTTGCAGCAACACTTATAAGCAAGAACCTGTCTCTCCAGGAACAAGGCTCATCCAGTCGCTGTAGTAGTGACAAATCAGGATGCTTGCAAGAACCTCTTTCTGTAGCTGTCAGTTGGGTGTTTTGAATGGTAGACACACAGCCTTGTGGTTATCACAGTAGCTGTCAATCAAAATATCAATCAAGTTTATCAAATCAATTAACAATTAATCACTATTTTAATTTCACATACATTCTGTAACTTCCATTATTATCATTTTTAATTCTTGTGGCCCTCCTCTCAAATGATACATTTTGTGTTGCGAATGATGAATGTAAGATGGGAAAATAATGAAACATGGCTGTTTTTACGACTATTTTAATCAAATCAGCTTCATTTCCCTTGATACTTTAGCACTCCACTTTTGTTGTGTTTTCCCCACCTCTGTTTTTATCAATTATTATTAACTTCCAACCCTCATACAAAATAATCCAACTTGTTCTTGGTTAGTTCAGCTTTCTGATTGAACATTCATTTCTTGTCATTCTAGCTTTGCAACTTGAGTTGTCATTGTACTTGCCAAAAGACTACAGAGCCAACTAATATTCAGACGGCTCAGAGGGCTTCCTGTTATCCTTGGTGACAACCTTGCAGGCTTTGTAAGTAACCTCTTACCTCCAGAGCGTCTCATTTCCATTCCATTATTTGAGTTTCTATCTTTGATAAACCTTGTGAGCATAGTAAAATACATACAATTAAATAATAAGATATTGTTCCACTTATCGCTAGTAAAATCTGTCCATCTAGTTAGTTTTTTGTGTGATATGGTGTCCACCACAATCTAAATAAATAAATAATAAATATTTATATTTATTTTTTCATGTATGTTGAACTTACTAATGAGTTCAACATACATGAAAAATTGTTTATGAGAACTAGTGATTTTGAGTAAAGACTACTAATATGAACTAATGATATTTAGTAAAACTGCTAATGTAATATGTCTACTGCATCTAATTTAAGGTTGTATGTTTATACAACTTAACATGTTCAGTTTCACATTGTGTAAAAATTAAAAGTCAACTAATTAAGAATAAGAGTGCAGCTTTCCCTCTTTTATTTGTCTATCTACCTATTATCTCTCGGTTCACCCACTTTATAGATAGATGTCCCTCCCACTAAGTTTTCTCATTCTTGGTTGCTGGCTTTGTTTAGTTTTCCAGATCCTGGTTGGGGGCAGAGTGTCATCAGGCAGATGAGCCCCACCTGCTCTTCTCTACCACCGCCACACAGCTGACCTGTTTTACTTTTCCTTTGTTCCAGACATTCACATGCATCCACATACGCTTACATCACTGACATTTTATATTATTTATTTTTGTAAATAAACATCCTTGCAACTAGTCAACAACCTGTCTGCCTCTGAAAACAAAGAAACATTGTTATTGCTCCTGTGGTTTTGGTTTCAGCCGTAATATTTCAGACTAGAGATCAGTTACCTAGCAACAGGCTCAAAGTTCAGCGTTGCAAAGACACTCAAAGTAAAACTGAGATAAGTTATTGAAACTAGACAATCACAGGTTATTTGACAGTTTTACGAAATGAGCTGTATCCTGAAGCATTCAATGATATACATGTTTATGGATTTCTATCTAGATCTTTCTATTATATTATATTACATCAGGACATATAAAAATAACAAATACAATCTGTCAAAGATCCAGTCCTTAACATTCTGCATATTGTCCGTACTGTAATTTAGTGCATTTATTCCAATATTTAATGACTAAGTAGATAATAATTTCAAAAAACAATTCCAAAACCCAACCCAGTTCATGGGGAACACTGCATGGGTAAACTTGAAAGTTTGGAAGTTCTACACCATTTTCAATTCCAAACTAAAATGTATGTACAAGGTGCAGGGTACATCCTGTCAATGATTTACAGACTTTGGTCTTGAAGTCTCATTATAAGACCGACAGATTGTGCAGCAGGTACGTAGTCTTCTACATTTATTTTTGCCTTTTCTATGTCTTTCTTTTTCTATTTTGAAAGACAAAACACTTTTTTTCAAATTCACTAAGGAACTGTCTGTGACACAACAGAGGTAAAGGTTTATACTATATACAGCCACAGAATTCACTATAGGTCAGTGAATGTCTGTACTGACAACAGCGAAAGTATAACTCCAGTGCATGGAAGTGTTTGTGAAGTCTGTGTAAAATGAGGATACTGCTAGTGAAGTTGTTCTTACAGCTGTAAGTCTTTGTTTGAATTCAAACAGCAATATGAATATAATATAATGTGTAAAACTTTAGAACACAATGGCAGTTCAATGTATTCTCTTAATATGCAAATGTGTGGTAAAATAAGTCAACAGCCAAACATATTTCGTCTGTTCAGGTCATATTTGACTGGACTACTTATTTTGCCTTTTCACCAGATCAAAAGCATATTTTCTATACAATGGTGGTGTCCATGCAGGCTTTTAGTGTTTTATGTTCATTTTCAGAACTGTAGGATGCTTCCAATGACTGGACTGCGCCTTCAGTCTCCGCTCAGAACCATCAGTGTTCTGCTCGTCCATTTTCTCCTAGCACACTTTTGTAGAGGTAAGTTACACACAAATACAATTTTAAAAAATAGAAAATAGTTGTTGAATACTAGGAGCTACATCTTTTCACACCAATCAATCAAATGCCAAATAACTATCTGTAAAATAAAAGTTGTTGCTCATCGTAGAGAATTAAAACAGACAGCTCCACAGTGTGTTTTAGAGTCTGGCCCACAACTTCACTGTTCACTGTTTTTGTTCACTCTCACCAGCAGACAGCTGTTTCTACCTGTTCGCCACCAGACAGCAGATAATCCATACTTTATACAGTTGAACACATTTATTTTATCTCCCAGGTCAGTCTCAGTTAATTGGTTCGCCTCAACCAGTAGTGGCAATAGTTGGTGATGACATCATTTTGCCGTGTCATCTGGAACCTGCTGTGGATGTTACTGCCAAGACATTTGAGTGGACGAGACCCGACCTGGATCCCAGATTTGTCTATTTGTGGCGTGCTGGTCAGGACCATGTAAAGGCTAAAAATCCAGCCTATAAAGGAAGGACATCATTGTTCGCTGGTGAAGTGAAGCATGGAAACATTTCACTGAAGCTCTCCAAAGTAAAACCTTCTGATGAGGGGAGATACAGATGCTACATTCCAGATCTGACTATAGACTCTTTCATTGAGCTTGTTGTTGGTAAGTAGATACAAAAAAAAGGGCAGTTTGGTGCAGTCTGTACATTGTATCCAGTGAATCATTTGAAGGATAAACATAGTATCGGCCACAGTCATCAAACATTAGTGTAAATCAGGGTTAAAAGCATTTTAGAACAGTTGTGAGTTTTGATGTCAGGAAAATGTAAAAAAATATATATATCCTTTTATTCTCACTGAGAGATCATTGATTTTGCTTGCTAAAAAACATGTTAATTAAAGTTTTGATCAGCTCTGCCTAGCTAACTAACTGACACTGACTTAATGTCTACAACCTCAATTCTATTCAGTTCAAATCATAACATAAGTTATCTCAGGACGCGTTTCAAATAGAGAAGGTCTAACCCTTACAGTTATCTAACTCTTGGCCTTGAAAATAAGGTTACTACTGTGGGTGAACAGGTAGTAGTAGTTAGGTAGTACATTTTTCTTGTTTTTCTCCAAAATCTTTAGATACCTAATTAGTGGAGCCTCATTCAGAGCACTTCATATTTGGAGAAATTCTAAGCTTGACAGGCTTCCTGTGTCTGGTTACAGTTGCTAAGCTATGACTGGAAAATCACTGCTTGCAGATGGGGATAGCAAATGGTCAACAAATGAAAACAGATTAAGAGTCAGCATACTAACATGCTCACAATGAAAACATTTGGTGCTAGGTGAAAAATCTGATAATTACCCAGTTCATCCTCTGGGTACCATGAACCTCTGTACTAAATTTCAGGTCAATCCAGCCAATGACTGTTTAAATGTTTTAGTCTAGATGAAAGCCATAGACACCGGGCCCCACTGCCATACATAAATAATACAATCAGCCGGTGTCATGGGGGTTGAGTACTGCTGTACTGGGGCTATCAAGTGCTTGTCTACATCTCAAATTGACTCAATAGTTATTTTATCGAGTTCTCAACAACTTTGAAATGAAATACAGCCATGATTCAAGTTTTTGAATTTCAGCCTTCAGTTTTGGAAACATCGAATATGACCCCTCTGACTTCAAGCTGCCCATCACCAATTATTATTTTAAAGCCAATGCTAATGTTTGTTTGTTAATTATTAGCTTATCTATTTTTTTGTTTGCTCAGTATCAGATACTGCATCCTTGCCTGACATCAGTTTATCAGGGATCGACAGAAACAGAGGAGCATTGATCTTAAACTGTAAGTCTAAAGGCTGGTATCCAGAGCCTGAGGTGGTCTGGCTGGACGGTGAGGGAAACCTCCTCTCTGCTGGACCTACAGAGACAGTCAGAGGTCCTGATGACCTCTATACTGTCAGCAGCAGAGTGACTGTGGAGAAGAGACACAGCAACAACTTCACCTGTAGAGTCCAACAGAAGGACATCAACCAGACCAGAGAGACACACATTAATATAATAGGTAAAAATGATTATTATTATTTTTTTAATAATGTGATCACTGTTTAGTCTGAAATAGTTAAAATGTAGTTTTCTACTTACATGTTATTGTGTGTTTTATCATTTCAGATGATTTCTATACAGTCCACTCCAGTTCTGCTGTTCCCATCATTGTTGGTTTGGCTGTTTGTTTGGCTCTTTGCATCGTGTCTATTCTGTTACTTGTTTTCTTTCTGTTGAGTAAGTCACAAATTATTTGCAATTCTTTGTGAATATCAAGTTCTCACAGGTTTCATGAAATAGTGAATCGTGGAAAATAATGATGTTTATTTTGATAAAGATGTCAGTATTTGTCAGAGGTCAAAGGTTATGGTGTTGTTAAAACTGCAGTGCAATCAGACTCAAATGTCTGATGTGCTGTGATATCTTCCAACAATGGAAGTCACTCTTTTATACTTTGATATTACTGCCTTTATTTTTGCACAGAGATCAAGAAATATCATAGAGATGACAACGATAGAGAGAAAAACTGTTCTAAAAGAAATAAAACTGCAGATCAGTCTGTCACTAAAGAAGAAACAGAGAGAGTGACACTGATGACGGTGCAGATGAAGAATGTGAACAAGAAAAAAAGGAAAAAAGAAGAGCAAACATGTAAGTAAAGAAACAGGACATTGCTTTGCAGAGAAAAAAACAAACAAGAGCAGGAAAAGTTTGATCTGTGAAAGGATGCAAAAACAACATTTATGTTAATGTCGTTAATCAGAGGTTCAGAAGAAGACACAATGTAGGCAGACAGAGGAGTGAGGAAACAAATCATCAGTGGAGATTACAATAATAGATAAACAGAGATAGGCCAGAGATACAGGGAAAAAACATTTAAGAAATATGTGTTTTTTATTCATGTTTTTTAGTTAAATTTAAATAAAAACATTTAGCTACCAACTTTTGGTGCTGAGGGTCTTGAAGTGACAGGTAAACTGGTTCTGTAGAGTTTTATTTACTGAAAGCAGTATGAACCACTGCAGACTAAAAGAGTGTGTATCGAAGAGAAACCCAAAACGTATAAATAACAACAACAACAACAACAACAACAACAACAACAATAACAGAATCTTAAACTGTCATTCATTGTCTAAGAGAGAATAAACTAAAAATAAAACCAACCTACTGTGTTTAACTGAGGCAGAGAGGCTGGTGTGTTAAAGTAACATACATAAAATAAATGCTAATAGAAATGAATTAAAATTGCTTAGACGTTGCAGTTGAGTGGTAACTGAAATGAAACTATTGAAATGAATGTGGAGACTGCATATCTTTGATACAGTGCTAACATTAGTCTTCATGCAGTCTTACAGATATTCTCAGAGCACTTTATTGTGTGCACATTAGTCAGTGTCAGACCGTCACTTCCTGCAGTACAACACTGCTAAAAGATCAATATCCATCTGTCTGTGTGTTAACAAACCACACATCACAGATAGAATGATTTAAAGCAGATGTAACTGATATTTTTATAAAAATATTTCAAATGAAAAACTGAAAACGATGTGACAGTGTGTTCAATGTCTAAGCTGAATGTGCAGCTTCATAGTGAGTTTCAGCTCATTGTTTATCTGTCCACACACAGCTTCACAGTGCTGGTTCACTGTCACTGCTCTCATACTGTTACTGTCAGAGGCAGGAAGCTGTTTCAAGAGAACAAACTGTAAGAACCCACTGTACATTAGCTTTATTAGCAGCACACAGACACAGTCAGAGACTAGCTGGTGAACACAGTGGAGCATTTAGCAGCTAAACACACAGATATTTCTCTCAGGAGCTGCTGGAGACCAAAACCTTCAGGATTCTCTGCTGGTCCTCTCACACAGACAGAACTGTGACTTTGTTCCATCTAAAGGTCCAACTAGAAAACTTCTGTTTCTTTAACATTAATAGTTGACCTCTCTGTTATACTTGAATTAAAATGCTGCACAAATCAGACCATGCAGTAACTTCCTCATGTCTTATTGTTGATTTGAACTCTCATTATTATTGAGTTAATAACAGTTAATATTACTAATGTGTATCAGTTTAGTCTGAACTACCAGTACAGTAACATTGCTCCAGCAGACAGCAGGTAAGCTGGCTACATACAGTTACAGTACATACATATATAATAATGAAGAAATAGTTGATACAGTATCACAGTAAAAGCATCATTATACGTATTACAGTGTTTAACAGTAAAGTAAAGTAACAGTAAAGCAGTGCAATGATTAACTCACTCTGACAACAGTCAGATAGTGTTTCCAGTATAAATCCACTGAAGGTAAACTGATTCAACCTGAGACAGACTGTACATGAACAGTGTTCTATCACACCATCAGATCATCACAAATGAGAGTCCATTCAGACCTTAATGTAAACTGCACATTAACTTGAAAGTGAAAATAAAATAATATAATGATAAAATATTTCACTTATCAAGAAAACTCTAGAATAGTCAGATGTCTTAATACACTATGTTTCAGTCTTAAACAGTTCAGGTTCTCTGTCAGACTGACACTTCCTGTGGTAAAACAATGCTGACAGATCAACATCCATCTGTCTGTCTGTCTGTCTGTTAGCTAGTTGATTAGTCCTGAATGATATGTGTGTGTGTGTGTTGTCTCTCTCTCAGCAGAACAACACCAGCATAGCACCTGACGTTGAGGTCGACCAACACGGCAAATATATTCGTCTCAGAAACTCGTCCAATGAGGTATTGTTGTCTGTGTGTGGATGAACACTGTATGAGTTCTGTATAAGTCTGGACTACAATAATATTCCAAATAATGAGCTGTTAGTTCCCCCACAATCCATTTGCTCTTGTTTTCATGTAAAGAGGGAAATGACATTGAATCATTGAATAAACACAATGGATTCAATAAGTGTAACACTGTAACATTAGTTTGTTCTCATCCTCCCTCTCACCCAATGTCACTGCAGGAGCAACAACTGGAAGGATGGAGGTTAGAAGTCCGGTTAAATAAGACAAAACCCATCATGTACACATTTGAGAACTCATTCAAACTACAGGCTGGAAACACTGTCACTGTGAGTATTTCATTCATGTTTTTCCTTTTCTTTCTTTCTTTCTTTCTTTCTTTCTTTCTTTCTTTCTTTCTTTCTTTCTTTCTTTTCCCATGGTTAAGTCCCATTTGAAATAAAAAAATATTTTTAATAAAAATGCTACTACTACTACTACTACTACTACTAATGCATGAGTGTATTTGTAAGTCTGTGACCTTTGCATTTTGCAGTTGTGGGCTCCAGGTTATAGAAGCCATTATCCTCCCACTGACCTGTTGTGGAGTGACCTGAAGTCCTGGAGCCCTGGAGACAAACTGCAGGTCGCTCTCATCAGCAACACTGGAGACATTCACTATAACTTTTAAATTCATGTCATGAATCATTCTTCCATTCTGGAATCAACAACAATGGATATTTTATTAATTTTTTTATGAATATCAAATCAAACATTATTACATTTTCCTTTTTGTGGCATTTTCAACAATTCAAAACACGTTTTCTTTGTTAGCCATGGGATTAGGACTGAAGGGAAAATAACTCAAAAACTGAGCGAATGTAACTCTGGAACTTTTGTTCTGTATTTGTACTGAATTGAATCTCTATATTAACATTTCTTCTCCTTTGACACACACAGTTTCTACAGCTCAGTGGTTTGGACAGTAAAGATATTATTTTCTATTCTGTGTTTTGTATTGTTTGTAAATGAGTTCATACTGTCAGTTTAGAATGATCTGCTCCATGTTTCTGTATTAAAGAGGTAAAAATCAAATATCAAATATGTTTTCCAGACATGTTGTTTATATTATTATTATTTGTCCTGTGAGGTACAACTTTACAGTATATAAATAAACACTTTTATATTTAAAGAGATTTTTGTATTTTTTCTTACAGTTTTGCATATTTTCTATTCAATAAAACAGATATTTCTTTCTTTTTTCATAATTGCTCAAACACTTAAATACATGTTAATACAAAATATTGAGTGAACCAGTGTAAGAATGTAGCTGCAAGTTGTGAACATTAATCATTATTTTAAATTGATGTGACATGAAAAGCAGAGAATAAATAAATATAAATCTCAGGCAGAAAGATTTGAGTAGAGAAATCACAGAAATCCAGGACGTGGGTACGGTTGTGCTTAGAGCTATTGTATTATTGTATTATATTCTTATTATATTATCATTCAAAAGTCAGGTGATGCAGTAACACAGCAGATGGTTAAATGTGATTGATATTCTGTGCTTACATTACTAATACAAATCATTCAAGACACAATAGTTAATAGTTAATAGTTAATTCAATTAGAATGGCTGAATGGGTAGCTTCACCTATAATAATATCAGAATTCAATCAGAATTTATTAACTGATTTATACTTTGTATCAACAATCGGAATATGCAACGTAAGTAGTAACAAAAAAAAATAGTGGAGTATAAAGTAGAATACAATGGAAAAACTCAATTACAGTTTAACTACTAATAATGTTTTATTAAGAACAGAACTGGGGTTAATGTACAATCCATCATAGTTGCTGAGATATTCAGGGCCAAAGTGGTGGACTTACTGACTGACACTGCCATCCCTAAAGCCACGCTGCCAGCATAGCACACATTTACTAATGTGTTTTCCCTTTATGCTCCCTCTCACAATTCAGTTAGGGCCTCCTCTAAAACGAATGTATGCCATTTTTCCACATTAACTTTAATCTAGTCTGAAAGCTAAAGCCCTTTCCTAAAATGTACATACAAAGTGAAACGAAAAGACAAAAAACACCCCACCTGCACCTGGAAAAACAACAGCCTATGTTAATATACACATATATCATTAGATATTATTTAGTTGTAAACAGAATTCTTTGTTTGAAGTCTTTTGGTTGAAGGGTTAGTGACTGCATCTTCTCACAAAGTGACAGCAGAAAAAGTTGTTAAATGCAATGTAATGATATATAATTATATAATAACTGTACTCGTCCTGTACTGCCTAACTTTATTTCCAATCTATTAAAGCGTCTCAAAGTGCAGGTGTACACGGCCATTTCATTTGTTTAATTGTATATTTATATTTATCTTAAATTTGTTATGTTACAGAGTGAACAGGAAACACAAATCGAACAATCTGAGATATGAAGGGTTTGATGTACATATAGACATATTTCTGTTGACTTCTACTGTGAAACGTTCTATTAATACATAATACACTACAATGAAATGACTAACCACACACAAATAAGTTCAACACAAAGCTTTACAATTCAACAATATTTCTAATAATTCCTCCTTTCTTCACTCAGGTCTCTCTGCTCTTTGTGGCCTGTAAGACAGAAATCAGGATATATGTGTGGTAAAATATTCTAAACTCAAGGGCCACTTTTTTATAATTACCATCAGTCGTACCTTCCGGACAGGAGAATACAGATCCTCTTCTGTTGAGTCTTTGGTTGCTGTTGGATTCAGAGATTCAGGCTGTGTTTTAGAAACTGGTAGAGTTCATTTTCCATGTTAAGACACAAAAACTGTGATAATCTAATCTAAAAAAAAGTTAATAAACACCTACTGACATTTCATCTGGACAAATCCCTTCAAGTCAAACTTCCATTGTAGCTGCACCACTGGATAGCTTCAAATAATTATAAAATATTCAGTAATAAACCCTGTTTCTATTTGTTCTCTCCAGCACTCTCATTTTATGAGGTGCAATCCACTTTAAAGTCTAAGTGATGCTAACACTCTTTCAGACTGACATTAACTGGATGATGAACTGCAACATATATCAGCATCTTTTTCATCCAGAAAAGATCCAGAGATCATTTGTTACATTGTAAAAACTACAGTTTCCTTGGTCAGCAGTACAGATGTAAACTTGAAACAACCAGCTGATATGAGAATGTAACACATGTAGCAACATGGAGCATCAATATGAACCAGATGCTTAGAAAAATATGCATTCTGGGCAAAATCTTAATTTATCACAGTTCTGTGTCAATAGCTTTTAAATCCTCTGTCTATCTTGTTTAGAATTACAGCAAATATGAGCATTACTGAGCTAAATGACAGTAGCAGTCACTTTGTTGGGGTCAGAAAACTCACAGCTGGAATAAAGATGTGGAATTCAAACACCTGTGGCTGTATCTAAGTGGGAGCATCAGTTAACTGGCACATTTTTAGAAAACATGTGAAATTGTCCACAGGCTTTTTAATGATATACGAACCACGCTGGAGAGTTTGTGAAGTCTCACTTGTTTTTAAGGTGGAGTAAATGGGTTGAAGTGAGGACTCATCGTCATCTGAAGGGGAGAAACCAACAGGAAGTAAGAGATCAACAGACAGACAGAGGAACACCACAAATGCTCTTATCAGAATAAAACTGTCAGCGAGCCCCTCTCACCTCCTTCCCTCTGTGGTTTTCTGCTGTGGTTTGTCTCTGGGCTCAAATTATCAACAGCATCTGCTGCTTCTAAAACAAAACATCATGTATGAGACGCTGAGAGGAGGTAAAAATAATTCAGCCACCAGCTCTACTGTGCAGCATGTCTCAACCCTTACTGGTAACACCTCAACTGCCACTTTCATTATGTAGGGCAGTGAAACCAAACAGCTCGTCTTATTATTCTAGTGTGCTCGGTGGTTAAACCTAATTGAAGATGTTAAAAGCACCTCTTTGTCTCTCAACATTTAGAGTATCACTAATAAATAAGACACAAGTGTTCCATTACAGTCTTGTTGTGTTTCTCACATCATGTTGAAGAAATAAAATGCATAAAGTAAACCTTTATTCTTTCTCTGTTTTGTGATGACGACTGCATACGTCACACCAGAGTCCGCTCCAGAGACTGAAACATAAAACCAAATGTTTGTGAAAAAAAATACATTTAAGTTATTATAAACACAGACCCAGAAGGTTGTCAGGTAGACAGGGACATAGTTGTACATAAATATACTTCATTAACACCCTATTTACATCTTATAATTGGATGATGGACTTTTGTTTGGTCTTTCATTTCAAGTGTTTGATTTTACTTCAAATGTTTTTAGAAATCAGTATGACATGGAGCAATGACAAATCTGAAGTACAGTACAGCCTATGTAACAAGTCTGCTCTCACCGTGTTGATCGTCCTCACCCGACTGTGATGCTGCTGGTGGAGTCTTTGAGGAAAAGCAGAGCATCACTGATGGATAGAAAACAGAGAGCCAGAAAAATAAAAGGAGGTTTTTTTTTTGTAAAATTAAACAATTTTACTCTACTGTGCACTTAAGCCAACAGATGGTTCACACTTGTGCAACTAAGTGCAACATTGTGAGTTGTATAAAAATATAAAATATTTAATCCTATATATTAACACAAGTTTATGACATGAATAAGCATTGGAGCTGTTAGCCAAAATATTAACATATCCTCAAAGCTGAGCTAAGGGCAAGGGAAATGTGTAATATGATAAGAAATCTAATTTGAATCTGTTTTATGTTTTTAATTCTTTTAAACTTGTGGCTCTGTTCGCTAAAAATAGCTTGATGTGCAGAATTACAGTTAGAATCACATATCCCACCATTCCTAAACTATTGGAGAAATGTAAAACAAGTGTGATGCGATGCTCTCCGTAGTAACATTTCTGTACCTCTGTGTTTCCTAACATGGAGGAATCCCACCAGCAGCAGCACCAGAGCCATCACTAAAACAGTGACAGCAATCC